TTCTGCGACGGTATTACTTCCAGAGCCACCACATCTCTCTAGCGATGATTTAGCGACACTGAGTGGCACGATAGATATTCTGCTTTCTTTAACGCAGCGTGCCTTGGCAACGCGACCTTCCTTTACGTCGCAACATCCAATTTCGAAGTTGACACACTTTGCCAAGTGGTGCGATGGATATGGACTTCTTGGAAAGAGCCAAATTGAGTCCGTTGCGGCTCTTGAGGCGCAGGCGACGCGTGACTTGGGATCACAGGCAACTCAACTGGAGACAGTGATGATGCTGAAATCGCTTCCATCCGGCGATGAGGCGGCGTTAAGAACGGTTCTTGATAACATATGGAATGAAAAGGAGGGTCATTTTGAGCCCTACAGTGCAGATGTGTTGTCGTCTATTGCGGTTTTGGCTGGTGCGCATGGCATTTCGGACGCGTTTCGGGCGCAAGTTGCGGGAAGGCTGATGAAGACGCAGCAAGAGCGGCTGAGTGGAAGCGGTGCTGATCTTCCACGACGGGCGCTGAGATTTGTGAACGCCGAACACTCGAAGGAAAAGCAGAAGTCCATCAAGCGAATGCTTGCCGCCGAGGAGGATAAGAAGAGGAAGGCACAGTAGAGGTAAAGTTCTTGGTGTGCACGTTTACAGCATGACTTTTTACGGGAAACATGATAGTGATCATCATCTTCACCATCTCCAATTGTGCGGGGATGCGCGGTTAAACGGCGATGGTTTGTGAGAAAAAAAGAACAAAATAATAATAAAAAGAAGAGGAAGAGAGAGAGAAAGAGATGACAGGGCACTGAGGTGTGTGTGTGTGTGCACAGCAACCTGCCTTTTTGGTTGGTGATTTTTTTTTTTATTTTGCTTATCTGATGGGAGGAAAGGAAAATTGGTGAAGATGCGTTTTTTTTCTGTTTATCTTGTCATGATTGCCTCTTGCGTGTAGGGAAAAGTCGAGTGGTGTACATTTTATTTTTGTTGCTGTTGGAGGTTGCCGTCGGATCATCGATGATCAACTTGGAGAAGCTGAACACCGGCATCACGCGACTGGTGAGCGTGAAAAAGTACCCGGTCACACGGCCTCAGAATATGCCACGGAGGACGAAAGGGCGCGTTTTTCGTTTGGGTGTACTACATAGCAAAGAGATGACAGAGGCGATGTTGCTGCGTAACAGACGTGGATTTGTGAACAGCCAAGTGAACACGGTTGCCCACGCCCCCTCCATTTATCACTGGCTTTTCCACCGCTGTGGTGTTCCTTTTGAGGAGACGCAGGAGTTGGCCAACTCAGGCGGACTAACAGTTAACGGCAAGACAGTCGATCGCTCGGGATTGGAATCACAGATGGAGTGGGTCGAGTTGCAGAAATTAGATATTCGCATCCGGGTAGAGGCATCCACGGCGGATCGGACATCCGGCTTCACAATAGACAACAACAGCAAGAGCACAAACAACGATGGCCGAAAGGGAGATAGTAACGGCTCGCCAACTGTAATGTGGGTGCCTGCATTAAAACGGGCGTTGCATCGGCAGTACTTTTTTGTTTATCTGCAACCGGGCATATCTATCACCTCCGATCAAACCGACCCGCGTTCTTTTGTGCATCGCCTCACGCCGCTTGTTGGCAGTGTTGCTGGTATCGGCATGAATATTCTCCGACCAATTGGTTTCATGAATGGAATGAAAGGGTTTGGTTTGGCGACAAACGATGTGTCGATGGTACGGTATTGGAACAATGAATTTCTGGGAAATTTTGGCGTCTACGATGTTCGTTTTGCTCGCGGTGTGCCTTCGGAAGTTCTCCGGAGGCTCGCGGAAGAGGTCCAACAGGTGTTGAATGATGGCATTCGGAAGCAGCTGTCGAAAGATGTCATTGTGCCTTGTGAATGCACTCTGGAGCCCATGTCAGCATATCAAAAACAGCACTCTAAACATAAGGGTGAGTTTGTGGCTGGACTCTATTCCAAACCCCTTCACGACGAGCGGTTGATCATACGTAGCCCGCTCCTGCCGTATCGTGTGGCACGAAAGATACGTCGTGCTGGTGGCTTCATTACAATGGTGCGCTCTGGTCCATTTTCGCTGCCGCCATCGCTCCCTCAAACGAAGCAACGTCCTTTGTTACCCCAGGAGCTGGCATTGATGTTCACATTTGAGCGCAAACTCAAGACAAACCGCGTCGTGCTCAGCTTACGTGAGTTTGAGGCGGATAATAATCTTGACGGCATTGACCCGGAAGCCATTTTAACCTCTGCGTGAGAGCAATTTGGCACAGTTAGTTGGTTGCATTTGGATTTAATTTTACAGACGTTACATTTATGTTGAATTGAGGGGAAAAAACGCATACGGAGAGAAACACAGTGTGTCCACTTTGGGTGAGAGAGAGAGTCAGTGTGTGTGTGTGTATGTGTGCATGCCTGCGGTTTTTTTTTTTTTTTTTTTTTTTTTTGCGATATGCTTGTATATCTTTTCATTATCTATTATTATTCTAGGAGATTGTGAAGAGAATGATCGCGGGAAAGCTGGCGAACTTAATTAATATAAATATCCTGACACAACGAATACACTTCTTTATGGTACTTTCTACCGTATGAATTTTTGGGAAGAAAACGACTTTAAGGGTTAGGGAAACGATAGAAGCCAGATAATTTTTTATTTTTATTTTGCCATTCCACCCACCCCCTGTTGATCCCCACCTCGCGGCGGGGTCTTGTGGTTGGAGGACCCCAAAGTCTGCCAATTCGTAAGTAATAAATAAATAAATATATATATATATATATCCTATTCGGATAGAGTGCAGTATGTCATGATAGTGGCTAACAGAATATATATTTTATCAGAAGAAAACGTTTGGGCATTTAACTGCCCTCAATTACATTCTCTTCCCCATCTTGATTTTGGTTTCTATAGGGAATTTCAGGATCCGGCCGGGGGGACAGAAGATTATTTTTGGTGATATGCGGGGCAGCGGTGCGTTGGCGTGTGCGGGCTGCTCATGGCTGCCGGTGTTGCCTTTCCTGCTGTTCCCCCGCTCCACTCCTTTGCGTGTGACGGACCAAACGTTTTTTACGGGCGTGTGGTGGGGTCGCGTTCCTGTTTGGAAAAAAAGCCTTTTGCAGGCATCATGATACTGCCGTCTGTGCCACACGAGGCAGTGGGGAAGATCCTGGGATTTTTTTGCGGGGCGGCACCGCACCCATGCCGTATGGTTGATTTGTATTTTGCAATGCACGGTGATGGGGATGTGCGGTGACAACTTTCTCCAGTGAAGCGGCACAAGCAGCACGGGGAGCTGAACGGAGGATTGGTGGCTGCGTGCTTCCAAGTGATATGTGAATGGCGAAAGCAATAAGAAAGGCAGCGTGGCAGCACTCTTTCGCCACGCACACCGCAGATATTTTATATAAAGCATGCAAATTGCAATTTTTTTTGTTGTGTGGGGAATTACCATGATGCATCGCTGTTGTGGAGTGTATGATTTGGGGTTCTTGCGTGTGGCCGTTGCTGCACCGAATTCTCTTCCCACTTGTGTCTGTGTGTGTTTGTGTTAGGGTTTATGCGAGCATTTCCTCTTGCAGTGTGTGTGCGGTGACGACGGTGCCACACGTGTGCGGGACCGTGGCGAGCGGAATGCGTGGGCGAACCCTCCATGCCCACCACGTTGTTGTTGGCTCTCACCAACACTGTGCTGGGTGGATGGTATCCACGGGCCGTCTTTGTGGTGGTCCTCGTGCATGTGGTGTGCATCGCACATTGTGTGGATGGTTTTCTTGTTGTGGGTGCCAGTCATTGCTGTGCGTAATTTCCTTCATTCTTATTCCTCTCCCTTTTGATTGGTTGCCAGTATTCAGCTTTAACTCGATCCAACCAAGAAAACAAGGAGAAACAATGTCTGGTGGGCGCAATAGAATGCAAGGTGGAAATACCGAGAGTCAAGCGTCTGCTGTGCCGCAGGGAGATGGTCAGAGGAGAGCGACGCCGGAGTTGGAGGTTGTCACAGGTCAACCCGCCGCGACCCGCAGAAGAGCGGAGGAGGCGCGGCGACCAGAGTGGACCATGAGCAGCACCGTAAGGGACATCCTGCTGGAGGGAAGCAATGGAATGGCCAAAATGAAGCTCAATGATTTCATTCGGGATTATGTTGGCGGCGGGGCAGCCGTTGATGAAGACCACAATGTTACGATGGAGGTGTTTTTCCATAAGCCGGATGATTACGTACAAGACCAGCAGCTTTTTGATGAGATTCATAATTTAACAGAGTACCAAGGGCTAGAAGGGAGGGGGATACTATTGGAGGCTACTACTAGGCTTGAAGGAGAAGGCGTGTTCATTCTTGAAGAATGGAGGGACTTTGGAAGAAAGGCTACGGTCGCTCTTTTTGCAAGGAAAAAACTGGACAAAGTTCTCACCCAAGTACTGGAAGAAAATATGCTTGAGGCAAGAGGAAGAGCATGGCAGCAACGAGAAATAGAATTTAAGATTCCCACTAATATCGAAGATGTACTGTTTAAAGGTAGTCCTCGCTTCATGGAAATAAAGCTGAATGATTTTCTTGCGTTGGAATTGTGCGGCTGGGGCATTTTGCGCGCCAATCGGAATGTCTTGTTGAAGGAGTTTTTCCGGGAACCCTCGAAGTATATCCGTGATGCGGGAGTATTGGCCGAAGTACAGGCATCAGTTTATTATGTGTTGATGGATATTGCCGTATGGAATGAAATGGTTTTTGATGAGGATATACGCAAGCTTCACGAGAATGGTGTACACAAACTATTTGAGTGGTCAGAAGCTGCTGCGGACGTAAAAGCAAGTGTTGAACGCATCACTAAACAGTTTTTGGATGCAGCCGTCAT